ATATTGACATGTTTTTTGAATGAGTCGGTTATAAGAGGGATAGATAGGGAGTGCGCAAACTACTATCTTATGATCACTGCTTTCAAATTCATCGTATACGTTTACAGATAGTGGGATAACATCTCTACTAAATATTAGATCGAGTATACTATCGCCTCTAGTTGGGGTACGAACCCACTGTGACCAGCAGTGCACGTTAATGATTGCCGAGAACTCATCATTACATGACTGACAACTAGCGGTACTCCAGTTAATCTCAGGATAGTTGAAATCCCCAGTGATAACCTTAGCATTAAAGTTTGGAGCAGACGCATGTATGAATGCATTGATAATAAGATCATTCCCATTATTCGAACTATCAGGAGCTCTGTATATACATCCAAGGAGTGGACTATGATTCAGGGTGTTGATTGATATCCAAACTGATTCTGGTAAACTATTCAGGACACTATCTTCAACTTTATTAGTTGTTAGGGTATCCAAAGCACATATAACATATAAGTTTTTGGTACCAGAATGACCCACTCTGTCAATATCTGGCACATTTTTTCAAGTAATCTTACGCATGTGTAATTATATCATTCGTTAAGTAGGTATACCTTGTAGTTAGCAATTTGAACAATCAATGTTTTCACTTTTTTAAAAAATTCACACCAAAAGTCCAAACAGTCGAAACTGTTGCTAATTTCAAATTGCATCTCAGATCGAAGGATGCACTGAGGGGAGGTAATTTGGACAAAATTTCTATTTTAAGATGTTTAGGCACCAAAACTATATAAACCTCTAAACATATATATTTGTTACTGAATACCATAACATGGTACATTTCACGACAATGCACACATACCTGAAGTATACGGCTAGAAAAGCTTGAAAGATTCATTTACTTCTTTTTAATGTTTTTCATAATATTTAACGTTGCCTTCATGTGTGTCCTTGCTTACTAATTCATACCATTGATTCGACTAACTTCATCCTTTAAAAATACATTGGTAATAACAGTATGTTACATCATTAGTTTTGCAAATTATTTACCAATAAAACATACAGTAGTAAACTGATGTAATAAAACAGACTAATATTTTATTATTAGAATTATGAACCGGTCAATGTTAGACAGTTATTGAGAAACTGGAAGCACTAAACGACCATTTCGTCCTGGTATGAAACTCCTCGGTAGTGCTCATCAATGACCCCGCATGCGGGATTCGGACCCAGAACTTTCGGTCTCGCTCACGAACATTTAACCTTTGGACCACTGAGACGGAATCCAACGGTGTTAATGTCAAGTTCCAACCAATCCACGATGTTACTGTGTTCAGTCTCCACAACCTCAAACTAAATAAAATATTTGGTCTTTATAAAAAATGCTTATTCTTGTCACCACAAAAACTGCAAATCATTTCGGGAACTACATAAATTTATACATATCGTTACTATTTTATTATTGATTGTCAGTCAGTGATCTTGAGTGCTGTTAGATGGCGGTTATCGCTTCCTGTGGGAGGGTTTTTCTAGAGGTATCTGAAAAAGAAAATTGGGTCAGGGGTGGTCTTAATGACCTGAGGGCGTGACCACAGTGCCCAAGGAACAACCGTTTGAGGTCGGTCATACACGACCTTTTTGTGAGTAGTTTTCGTGCTAGCTTCGTACTTGTTGAAACCTTACCACAGGAGACGGAAATCTGTGCTATAAGACGGGGTGTAAATTTTTAGGATCAACCTTTACTAACCCCAACCTTCCTTGTGGGAAGGTGGTATCGCTGTTATGCTGGTTGTCTAAAGGAAACAACTTACTGCCATCACACTTCTGTACAGTCGGCAGTATGACTTCGTCCTCGGACCTTGGATTTGCTGCTCTTAGTCTCACCTTTCTTCAACCGACCTGCCTGGCATGATAGGGCCTTGAGGGACGATTGTTTCAGCCTGTATAGCTCGATTAGTTCATTACGATAGGCAAACCCTCACCACCACATCAAGGTAGCAGCAACTGTCGGGATTAATGATTGTACTTAAAATTATATGTAGATACACGTAACATTCACTCAATAAAATAAATAGTATTTAAATAACTTTTTGTTGAATCAATAACATTCAATCAAGTCTTTTTATTTTAGATTACATTCATAATCTTTTGTATTGTATACCCTAGTCACACAAATCTAACACCTATCAACGGTCGATATGAATTTACCTATGGAAAACTTATCACACAAAATGTTTAATGTAAATTTGAATAAATGTTTACTAACTGACAATTGAATCAAATAATTCATTATGTGCAATTATACGAATATAAAGAGTAGTCGAAATCGCAGACATTTTCTGGAACTTTAAACAAAGTAAGTGATTGATTTATTGACATGTCTTGTTGTTTGGATGCTACTTTTTATATCTGGTCGTCGCTGATTGTTGTGTTGGAAACACTTATCACTTATACTCAGTACGAGGGACATCTGTAATTCCCACGACGCTAAAGTAAGAACACAAAGACTGGTATAAGTGAAGATTTATTAACCCCAAAAACACGACGACGACCCTAATCGACAATACACTCATCTATATATTGATCGTACCCTCATTTTGATGAATAATTAGGATTAAATCACATATATGAGTTTGGTGATCTAACCTGCGTCATTAGAAAAATATTATGAACTGCGTTTGGAATGTTGAAGATGATCTTCATGAAAGGTATCGAGTTCAATCAATATAATGATTTTACTAATAGGTATCCAATTTCATACAGTTGACCCATGTAAGTAAGCACTAAATGATGGATGACGAATATCATCTTGTTTTGATCACATTCTTCTTTGATCGTAAAGAAAGTACCGCCGTTCTAACACTTTATTCTATAGGGAACTGCGTTGAGTAAGGTATCAGTCATACATTTATGTTACCTAAATTAAGGGGAATTTATAGCTTGCTTTCTTCTGGTCAAGTGAGATTACCAAGCGAGATCAGCTGTGTTACAAAATTTCAGGGTGAACTTTCCAGATACTTATTTAATTCATTCTATTTTGCAGGCCGAATCATGCAGCAAAATAGATCCCAGGAATGCATTTCCTCAATGGTGTAATACAAGTATTATTCTACTTTACAGCGAAATATTTATTACACCAAATAACTTTAAAACACTGAGTCCGTTAAGAAACTGTTCTGTCGTAAAACATCATGAAAATGAAATTTGTATTGAAGACACTTGATACAAAATAAAGGGTTGAGAAAATGAACTATACAGTTCAAAGTATTTGTGAAAAGTTGTAACAGCATTTTATGAAGCAAACAGTGAGGTATCAAGAGATTTCTTATCGATTAAGCCCACCAGGTTACTGTCGCAGAAGAAATGATGCATAATACTCTTATTCATTAACAGCCTTTAAGATATGAATGAAGGCGAACTATATCTTATATCGCTGTTGTGCAATTACGTAGTAGTACAGACATTCATTTTTTATGTATTAATGTGCTTGATAATTCAAGATTCCCTTATTAAGGACTGTCTTAAAATAGCCATACGCTTCTCAAAGACGAGGAAAGTTGGTCAATAATATTGTCTTTTACAATAATTATATTTGAGCAAAACTGAATAAGATCACGATTTTTAAAACATATTAAAACATCCTCATGTTAATCCCTAATTCAGTCATCCACAAAATTCTGGTCAGCCTCATGCCACAACAAAATAACTAATCAATGCTTCCTACTTTTTAACGTTTGTTTAACTAGAAACAGTACGTGATGTAAACAACCAAAAAACAACACAACCAAAACCATTAGTTTATTAAATTGCCTAAAATGCAAGACAGTACCCATCAAACATAGATATATATTCAACCAAGGACAACACCCTAATATCTATTGACTGCCAATTTTCATAAGGATGATCTTTACTAGTCATTAATCATTTCGTTATTGGAGTTATTACGATTCACTGTTCATACTTATTGAAGAATCTACAAACTCTTGTCAAATTTAAATAGTCTTCTTAACCGAATAGTCATTTATTAAATAACATCTATTGAATTTATTTCACTAAGGATAACAATCAGTTTCTTTTTTCTTTCAAGATACTGCTTATATTGATAAAAATACATTTTAATTCATTACATGTAACAAGTTTACAATTGATGAATCACTTGATTCAATTGTTTTCTAACATTCCACTTCCCCCCTCAATCTTTCTCTTTTCTCCACCTACTTTCCAACATAACTCTCTGTATTCTATTTTCTCACAAAAATCATGTTGTTGTTTTTTTTCCTCTTTTCTAAAATATACCAACTGGATATATATTTCTTGCATTCTTTTTGTTGTTATTGTAATAATAGTAGAAGTTTCTTTCTGTTCAATAATTCAAAAGAAAAACCAAAACAAACGCACACATACATACATACATACATACATACATAGACACACACACACACAAATAAAAGGAACAATGGCATGTCAGGAAATCAAATTTAGAAAAAAAAAGTTATAAAGTCGATCGTCTCTTCAACTGGTTAAAACACAAATGTATATTGAACTAACATTGAAGAGAAAAGAAAAACAATTTTTTCCCTACTTTAAATCACTATGCGTTTTCCTTTTTCTTCTTGCGTTTTTTTGTTTGTATTTCGTTCATTTTTTTTAAATTTTTTTTTTGTTTTCAGAAATATGATTGTCAGAATATGCTAATCAGGATTAATTCATTTGAGAATGATTTGTCCATTTAATTTTATATATGTAAATAAAACATCATTTATCTAATAAATAGTATTTTATAGTTTACTATATATTAATCATAAAGGGAACTAAATATTATTACTATTATTATATAATCTAATAGATTACTAACAAAATCCAGTTGAGTAATGGTACTTCCCAAAGGATTTATTTATTTTTCCCCCTAATATATATCAAAAATATAGCCAGACAAAAGTTAAATCAAACAACTGTTAAGTAAATAAACAAACATATCCATATAATTCTTTTTTAAAGTTTATGAATAAGGATAGTCAGTGAGAAATCAAAATCATTGTATGATTGTCTAAATCATCATCATCATCATCATCATCATCATCATCATCATCATCATCATCATCATCATCATCATCATCATCATCATCATCATCATCATCATCATCATCATCATCATCATCATCATCATCATCATCATCATCATCATCATCATCATCATCATCATCATCATCATCATCATCATCATCATCATCATCATCATCATCATCATCATCATCATCATCATCATCATCATCATCATCATCATCATCATCATCATCATCATCATCATCATCATCATCATCATCATCATCATCATCATCATCATCATCATCATCATCATCATCATCATCATCATCATCATCATCATCATCATCATCATCATCATCATCATCATCATCATCATCATCATCATCATCATCATCATCATCATCATCATCATCATCATCATCATCATCATCATCATCATCATCATCATCATCATCATCATCATCATCATCATCATCATCATCATCATCATCATCATCATCATCATCATCATCATCATCATCATCATCATCATCATCATCATCATCATCATCATCATCATCATCATCATCATCATCATCATCATCATCATCATCATCATCATCATCATCATCATCATCATCATCATCATCATCATCATCATCATCATCATCATCATCATCATCATCATCATCATCATCATCATCATCATCATCATCATCATCATCATCATCATCATCATCATCATCATCATCATCATCATCATCATCATCATCATCATCATCATCATCATCATCATCATCATCATCATCATCATCATCATCATCATCATCATCATCATCATCATCATCATCATCATCATCATCATCATCATCATCATCATCATCATCATCATCATCATCATCATCATCATCATCATCATCATCATCATCATCATCATCATCATCATCATCATCATCATCATCATCATCATCATCATCATCATCATCATCATCATCATCATCATCATCATCATCATCATCATCATCATCATCATCATCATCATCATCATCATCATCATCATCATCATCATCATCATCATCATCATCATCATCATCATCATCATCATCATCATCATCATCATCATCATCATCATCATCATCATCATCATCATCATCATCATCATCATCATCATCATCATCATCATCATCATCATCATCATCATCATCATCATCATCATCATCATCATCATCATCATCATCATCATCATCATCATCATCATCATCATCATCATCATCATCATCATCATCATCATCATCATCATCATCATCATCATCATCATCATCATCATCATCATCATCATCATCATCATCATCATCATCATCATCATCATCATCATCATCATCATCATCATCATCATCATCATCATCATCATCATCATCATCATCATCATCATCATCATCATCATCATCATCATCATCATCATCATCATCATCATCATCATCATCATCATCATCATCATCATCATCATCATCATCATCATCATCATCATCATCATCATCATCATCATCATCATCATCATCATCATCATCATCATCATCATCATCATCATCATCATCATCATCATCATCAGTGGCAGCAGCAGCACGACTTAATATTGACATTCTGAGCGTAATATATCGAAATTCATCAATAAACGTAGAATTTGAATTCTTTATATTGTCGGCTTTGTTCTCTTCTTTCAAGATCGTTAAAAAAAGTGTTTCATTCTTAATATTTTATTTGAATCAGAATGTTATTAATTAAATATGATTAAATGTTTAAAAACAAGAGAAATTATTGCTTGAGTAATAATAGTTCAAGAATTTAGACAAATCTAGAGAATACCATTACTTCCTACTTACAAATGCTCCAAATATAAGAAGGAATGATTAATCAAACAAAATATCGAATGAATAATTATACCAGTACATCTTCATATTAAAATCTACGACAGAACTATGTAATCCAGTTGATCACTTTTCTTAATTCAGTTAAATATAGGTTTAGATTGATATCATAAATGAATCAGTGTTAGACCACCATTGAAAACCTGCAAGCACTAGATGGCCGTTTTCGCTTCAAGATGGATTTTCCTGGAGTTTTAGTGAGAAACCGTGACCAGTGGAATTCAATTGGGTCAGTTGTGAGGCACTTACTCACTGAAGACAATGGTGGACGGTGCCACGATATCGCGAATTGATTGAAGTTAAACATTAACACCGTTGAATACCGGCCCAGTGGTCTAGAGGTTAAGTGTTCGCCCGCAAGACCTAAGGTTTAAGGTTCGAGTCCTGAGCGCGAGTTCATGGATGCGCACTGCTGAGGAGTCTCATTCTAGGGTGAAACGGCCGTTGTGTTTCCAGGTTCTCAATGGTGATCTAACATCAATCCATTCATTATATCAATTTAAACTCAACAATCTTCACAACCCTATACTAATAAACATAGGCTTGCTTGAGGATAAAGTGTTTTTAAAATGACAGTGTTTAATCCACCATAGAAAAAAAGGATTTATACGTTCAGTATTATTATATTTCACAGGTTACAAATAACTCACACAGTAACTTATTTTCGACTGTTAAGCTTCACGAAAAGGATCTAAATAATGTAATTATATTTGGAAGATAAGTAATATGATTACCATTTACACTGCAACAGCGATAGATAGCTATGATTGTGGATTTCATAGGTATATATCTGTCTTTAAAATATAACCATATTTATATTCCACATGGATTTACTTTATAAGCAATCAAAATAAGCTGGTTTGAAATTCCACTCATTATTGTTGCTAATTTACTGACAAAGGATTATTTAACTATATTAATTTTTGTTGTTGTTGTTGTTGACAATTTTGCCCTACATTTTATCATTAATTAACAAACAAAAAACAATCCAATAATTTGAAAATTTCATCGAATTTAGGTCATTAGTGTGATCATTATTTTGTTTGATTGAGTTTATAAAAAAATAAATACAAAATTAATATCAGATGGGTTTTGTGGATATTTTAGTAATTTCAATGGTTAAGATCATAAGTCAGTTGAAGCTAGACCACCATGGAAAACCTGGAAGCACTGGACGGCCGTTTTGTCCGATTGTGGGATTTCTCAGCAGTGCGCATTCACGTACTGACTCATGATCTCAACCACTGAAATTACTATAATATCCACAAAACCTATCTGATAACAATCATTATATGCTGACTAGTGACTCACTTCAAGAGGTATATTCTGGAATTCTAGTGAGAAGTAGTGACCAGTGGAGTTCAACCAGGTCGGTTGTGAAATAGTAACTCACTGAAGACAATGGTGGATGTGTCGCTCGATTTCGTGGGTTAGTTGAAGTTAGACATTAACACTGTTTGACGCCGACTCAGTAGTCTAGTGGTTAAGTACACGTGCGTGAGACCAGTAGGTCCTTGGTTCGAATCTCGCAGGGGGCGAGGTAGCTGCTGCCGAGGAGTCCCATTGTGGGACGAAACGGCCGTCCAGTGCTTCCAGGTTTTCCATGGTGGTCTAGCTCCAACTGACTCATGATCTTAACCATTGAAATTACTAAATTAATACCCATAAAGCTTTGAATCTTTTGAATTAAACACAGAAACAACTTGATTGATAGAATTCATTCACCATGAAATAACTAAATAAACATGAAGATCATCTTTACTTAGTGATCAATTAGTTAATAAGTATATAATTTCTACATTTAATACATTTGAGGTCAAAATAGTCTAGTGGTAGTGATTAACATTGTGAATTTCTACTTAATTTAAAATGCATTTCGTTGACGAGTACCAAATAGAACGAAATTTAAACTTAAAGTTTCTCGTAGACTACCTTCAATTATGTAAAAAAAGTACTGTTATGTTTAAAAGAAACTATTGCTTGCTTGCTTGCCTACAATGTATACCGACAAATTTGATTGACTATAGAAAAAAATCATGACTGTTGTGAAAAAGCATAATAATAATAATATAGTCCTGAACGAAAACGGAAAAGAGGAAGGACGAATAACAGACTACGTCGGGAAATGGAAGCAGATATGAAAAGAATGAATAACAACTAGAAACAACTGGAAAGGATTGCCCAGGACAGGGTTGGATGGAGAGTGCTGGTGGGCGGTCTATGCTCCTTCACGAAGGTTAACAGGTGTAAGTAAGTAAGTCGTTGAACATGAGTGATAAATAGAAGACATGTAGAAAAAATCGATAATATTAAGCATTAAAACATAAGTAATATATTTATAGAGTTATTATACGAAGGTGTGTGATAAGTTAACAAAACAAGGACTCATTTTAATTTTGTTAAAAGTAATCAAAGTTTATTTCTAAATTATTATGAAGCTAAAGATTCGTGAATAATTATTAAGGGTCAATCTAATTAAACTTGTGAGCAAATGATAATAAAGATAAAATCTAGATCATTAAATTCTTTAAAGTTTACCTACATCTTGTTTATTCTTCATTATAATCCAAGTAGATGACACTTGAATGATATTAGTCTTGTTCCTAATCATGATAAGTTAGTCACAGGAATTTATTTCAGTATAGCATATAAATATAACATTGATAACATTTAAGGTTAAAAAATTCAATATATTTTTAAGATAAATAACACTACAGTCAAGATATAACAAGGACAGTATCAGAGAATAATGTCGCTGTTTTCAGTAAAAAAACAAAACAAAATTTAAGTATTTTGGACATATAGCTTACTTGGTCAAATTCAACTAATGTAGTGTATTAAGTAAATAAGAAGTGAAATAAAAAGAGTGAATAGTCGAAAAGTGTTTAGTGGGGTCACCAAAGTGGTGAGTTCGCAGACGACGGACCTAACGCAGCGAGCTACGTCGATGAAGGAACTTCTGCGCTCCATACTTTCGACGAACAAACTCAGCGAAGATAGCTCGATCTCTAGTCCAAAGCATTCAGCAAAGCCTGTGCAGCATGACATGGACATGCTCAAATCGTATTATTTTACCAATACTTTGTCCTCATGTCAACTTTTCTCATTGATCCATCCAGCGTATCATTCCATTATGATTCAAATAATTATCATAGTCCCATTAACACATTAATGTTACGTCGGGCTCACCACTTTTTGTGTGGCCCTCCATTTTGACATCAATCAGATCGGACGATGTTGTCGACGGGCTCACCAATATATTGGCCCCTATATCTAACTTACACGCCTTCTTCACTGAGCGTCGTTTCGCTTCACTCTGTTCTCTCTGCTTACTTCGCTTCGTCCCTCTGACTGCCTGTCCAGATCAGTGAGTATACAAATATATATGTATTCAAACATCCATTCTCTTACTTGATTTATTTAATTGCGTTATTCACTAGCGCGGATTAAGTTGGTAATTGTATACGAGAATTGGCAACGTGTATATCTCAGTAGCAACCAAACTGGAGTCAGATATAAGGGCCACTATAGTGGTGAGCCCGTCGATAACATCGTTTAATCTAATCGATGTCAAAATGGAGGGCCACAAGTGACACATAGAAAATGGATACCTAAAGAAATTTACTATGAAATACAAAATGACTATTCGACACATCATTAACACAAACATTTCAGTAAAAAAGAAATATTATCTTCGTGGATTATACTTTCAAGGTATACAAGAATTAAAGTGGTACTGAGTAGTAGCTTTTCTGCAGACCACATCTCGTTTTATCTAGTACTTGATATTTTTATGACGATCTAGGTGATTACATGTTTTTACTATGGTTATCGATTATAATGTTACCTGTACTGCATGTTGTCTAGTGTTTTCCAGCATAAAAATATACATCAGTTTTGATTATTCAACTTGATATTTCTCATCTTTTTTATCGACTTGTGATATTTTTTATCTTTCCAATTTTCCATCTTAACTCTTACCAATTAGAATCCGTGTCGGGTGGAGAGAGGTATCCACCTCATAAAAAGGGATGAAAGGTCGCACAAGATCACAGATCGATTAAAGTTCCACATTAACAGCGTTGAATGCCGGTTTAGTGATCTCGAGATCAAGTGTTCGGGCTCAAACTCGTGGCTTTGCGTTCGAGTCCCGTGTGTGAAATCTTGAGTGAGCACTGCTGAGGAGTCCCATTGTAGGACGAAACGGTCTTCCAATGCTTTCAGGTTTTAAACGGGTCGTCTGGCTTAGATCGGCTGATCGACTCAACTATTAAAATTACTAAAATCTCCACAAATCCACATTATGATAATTAAAATATATCATGCGCTTATTAAAAGTCATTTAATAACTTTATCTACAGCTTATAAGAAGCCTTGAAATTGGATGATTTCATTTTATATCAAGAATTTTATTATTTTCGCACTAACATACTAACTTTAATTCATGAAGTAGTTAGTTTCGCTATTCAGTTCAAATTTAGGTGTTATACAAAATATTGAAAATAGAAAATTAACTCATTTTCTATAATAGAAGAGAAAGCTTATAACTTAACACATTAATCACTATTACTGAGTGTACTATAAAGTTATTTTAAACTTAAGAATGCAAGTAGGCGTGTACATTTTCACCAAAAAATCTTACTGTGTTGTAAAAGTTATGAATTAGAGATTGTATGTATTGAAAGTCGGATTAATAAACAACGTAACCAATAACA